GCTCAGTGGATAGAGCATCGGCCTATGGACTGAAGGGTCCCAAGTTTGATTCCAGTCAAGGGCACATGTCCGGTTTGTGAGCTGGATCCCCAGTGTGGGATGTGCAGGAGGCAGCTGGTCAATGATTCTCTCTCTCTCATCATTGATGATTCTATCCCTCTCTCCCTCTCCCTTCCTCTCTGAAATCAATAAAATATATTTTTTAAAGCATAATTAATATTTTTCTATTACAATATCTCATTAAAAGGTAAAAATGCAAATGAAAAGTCAAATTCATCTGGCGTCCTGCTCTAGACTTCCATGCTGTCCTTGCCCAGGTCCTCTGAAGAACAGAGCCTGAGGCAAGGATTAAGGGTTTACACTGTATTTGGGGGACAGGGTCCCTGGGTGAGGAAAGAGAAGGGACTGGAGAAAGGAAGGAAGCAGTACGAAGTTGACAACAAGCCACAAAGAGACACACAGGTCAACAGGCAGGTGGATTCGCTCCACACGTGGGGACAAATGGCTGCGAGGAGAAACTGGCTCTCAGAGAGCAGTCCATGGGAGAAGGACAGAGCGAGCTGAATCTGCCAACTCCGGGGGCGGAGAAAGCGTGAGAAAAGCGAAGCGGCTGGAGTACAGGTGGGGCCTGAGTGGGTGACCGATTGCTTTGGGGCATCAATGCCTCCCTCACCTCACGCTAGTCCCAGCCCTGGTCAGCTCACCCCTCCTCCTGTTTCCCATTAGTCAGTGCTCGCCCCACAGCGTGAACCTCACCTGAACGTGCAGTTGCCAGATCCCATAACCACAGAGGTGCTTCTGTGTGTTCAGGAAGAACCAGAAGCTCCAGGCATGTGGCCGGGCTGCGTGCCAGGGGGGAAGGAGGGCACAGCATTCTCTGAGCGGCGACTGGTTGGCCCAGTGGTGTCTGCAATATGGTCCCGGATGTGGTTGGTGCCTTAAAAAAAAAAAAAGAGGCCATTGAGGAATCTAGGCTGGTACAGTCTGTGTGGCTGCAGGGACATGTCCAAAGAACAGCTATATTAAGAACTAGTTAGATGAAACATTACAAAAGAAAGGAGGCACACATTCGGGTTATCAAAAATGAGGGAGGGACACGACTACAGAGCCTGCAGACAGTGAAAGATATTTTGTGGGGAAATTCCAACAAATACTACTTAGATGAAACAGGCAGATTCCTTGAAAACACTACTGTCACAACGATCCCTCTGTAAGGTATAAATGTCTAATCACCATGCTGTACACCTGAAACTAACATAATATTGTGTCAACTTCAGTTAAAATAGAAATTTTTTAAATATTACTAAGCTGACAAAGGCCCAAGGCTATAGTACAAATCTGAAACTTCCATTACGAACTGAGGGAAAAGGCCATAGTTTACACATCTATACACTTTCTCAATACCATTCAAGTCAGAACATTCATAAATTTACAAAGCCTCATAATTTAAAGTCAAATAGCAGAGTTCTTTAAGCCAGGGTCTTGGCAGAGAGACTCAAATGGAAGCTTACCCTCCAGGCTTAATATGAATACAGAAAGAGGGTTATAAAACCAGTCAGAGGAGTTGGGAGGGAGGCAAATCCGGAGAAGAATCTAAGAATAGTAGCACCATACCCCACTGCTCCAGAAAGCTTAATCCAGAAAAACACTGCAAGGACAGATGGTTGCCAGCTATTTTACATCAGATGGCAGACCCAGGCGCCTCCGGGGGTCAGAGACCTACTAAGACAACAGGCAGTGAGATGCTAAGGGCTGACAAGCCCCTTGCAACTCCGTGGCTCCATCTGGTTCTGCAACAGCGTATGTGCTCAGCATCCCCAGATTTTCTGGATTACTCTTTGAAATCTCCCATTGTTTAACTGTTGGCTCAAGTTTAAGGGGGAAAAAAATACTGTGTGAGCCAAACGAAACACAACAGCAAGCCAGATACAGCCTGCAATCTACCAATTTGTGGCCTTGACTTTGTGTTTTGGTCTTAGGAGGTGGGGTGCAAAGAGAGGAGGCTGTGAGGTGTGTGTGTGTGTTTTGTTTGTATGTTTGTTTGGTTGGTTTTTTGTTGTTGTTCTTTTTTGGCTTTTTCCTATTTTTGAAAGTTCAAGCTCTGGTTTCTTTTTCATGACCTCTGAGGTATGGGGACTTCAAAACAAAGAGAAACAGTCACCGTCGGACATTCCGGCTCTTTCTCCATCCTGCCCCCAGGATCCAGCAGATAAGAAGCTAAATCCTAAGATCTGAAGAGGTGCCGAAGCCGGTTTGGCTCAGTGGATAGAGCGTCGGCCTGCGGACTGAAGGGTCCCAGGTTCGATTCCGGTCAAGGGCATGTACCTGGGTTGCGGGCACATCCCCAGTGGGAGATGTGCAGGAGGCAGCTGATTGATGTTTCTCTCTCATCGATGTTTCTAACTCTCTATCTCTCTCCCTTCCTCTCTGTAAAAAATCAATAAAATATATTAAAAAAAAAAAAAAAAAAGATCTGAAGAGGTTGGGTTTCTTCTCTCCCCTTCAGGCTGCTGCCAACTCGCTGTCCTGCCTTCGGGTTTGAGACACACTGGTGATTTTGTTTACTGCTGTTTCCATATGGCTAAGCTGCATAGGGTGCGGGGAGCGGGAGGGAACACTGAGGTTTCATTTCACTGTGAGAAGATGTTATTCTGTGTCAGGAAACAAGATGAAAAGCAAACATGCCTCGAGATTCCTGGAAAGAAAGCAGATTCATTGCGGCCTCTGAGCCCAGGCAGCGGTGTGCGGAGCTCCCGAGCTTGTCTGCCATGGCCACCTGGTCAGGTCCAGTGAGCCAGCCCAAGGCAGCTGCGCCTTCTCAAGGACACACTTCAAAGGCGCACAGCATGCTGCGGAGGGCGCCTGGCACTAATGAGCCAGCACCCAGGCTCCCAGCGGCAGGAGAACTTCCCAGCATCACCCTGAAGCATGGCGACTGCAATGCGATCCTGGAGATGGAAGCACTCAGGGGGGCGGGGCAGCCGGCAGTGGCTGCATCCCCAGACCTGCAGAGAGGGGCGAGCACTCAGAAACTCAAGGGGCTGCGAACACTGACAGGATGCAGAAGGATGCTGACCAATGTCCTCACAGCCTCTCTCCAGTGCACTCTGATCAGCTCGGCCAAGGTCCCTGTGGACCCAGCCCCACTCCCTAAGGAGCTGTGTGGAGCACGTCAGGCCCCAGTTGTCTATCTCCCTTGTGGGTCCCCATCAAGGCCACTCAAGCCACAATTTCCAGGAAGCCTGCAGCAAGTGTCTCTTCACAGCGGCTCACACAGAAAGCAGAGGGTTTCTAAGACGTCCTGCTGCACTCTGGGACTCCCGGGCCGGCTTCCTCTCCCCCAGGTCCACGGAGGGAGAGGCTGAACAGGCGCTAGGGCAGTGATGGCGAACCTATGACACGCGTGTCAGAGGTGACACGCGAACTCATTGTTTTGGTTGATTTTTCTTTGTTAAATGGCATTTAAATATATAAAGTAAATATCAAAAATATAAGTCTTTGTTTTACTATGGTTGCAAATATCAAAAAATTTCTATATGTGACACGGCACCAAAGTTAGGGTTTTTCCAAATGCTGACACGCCGAGCTCATAAGGTTCGCCATCACTGCTCTAGGGCTTTAACACACCCCAACCACGCTGTACCTTGGGAGAAAGGAGAAGGGCATGGCCTCCCAGGAAAGGCCAGCAGGGAGCTGAGGGGTTTCTTTCAGGGACTTGGGGACGTGGAGAAAGGAAAGAAAAAAAGATCCCCGTCTACAACGCCTGCCCAATCACCTGGGAGCCAACTGTCCTCAAAATTAGGAAGCCTTTATTCTTGAGATGATGTTCTCTAGAAAAATAAGACAGACTCTTCAGAGCCACCTTAATGCTCCAGGAAAGGAAGAATTCAAAGAGCAAACAAGCAAAGACGTATTCCTACTCTTCTAAAGGTCTTCCCAAATTCTGAAAGAAGTTCTGCCAGAGATTAGTGTTTATAATGGGAAAAGTATCAAAGTCATGGCAAGTGACCATACCTCCCATTTACAGTGTCTGATGAGGTTCTAAGATGTCTGCGCTCTTGGTATCCCTGCAGCAGTCCTATGCGGTAGGTACTTCCACAGCTCCCAATTTGCTAATGAGGAAACCGGAGCACAGAGAGGTTAAGTGACTTGCCCACAGTCACACAGCCACTAAGCGGCAGAGCTGAGATTTGAACCTAGACCATCCAAGCCCATATGCACCGCTGCCTCTTGCAATTTGATGCTATAAGTAATAATAAGAGACACAAAGAACATGTTCTAATTAACAAAGTATTCTCAATTTTTTATTTATTCCAAAAATATTTTTGTTTAGCACTCACCAAACGCAGGTCCCAGAGGTAGAGTGCTGAGCAAGTGACACCCAGGACCTGACCTCACAGTTCTCTTCTCCAGCAGCAGACAGACCAAGTCAATGCTCCTAAAACTAAGTGGTTAAGGGCAGTGGTTAAGTGCCACAAACAAATAAACACAGGGGTCATCACTCTCGGAAATAAATATTCTTTTCCTCCTTTTACAAATAAGGAAACTTAGATTTCAGAGTGAAATGCAATATGGCAAAAAGAACCCACTGAATTCCTAATTGTATTTAGTTTTGAGCAGCTACTCAATGTAGCCATATCATTTGACATTCAAAAGCTACTAAAAGGTGTATGGAAAAAGCCTCCTTTACCCCCTCAACCCCAGCCTCCCAGCTCCCCTCTCCGAGGCAACCGATGTTGAGTCTCCTATTGTCTGGGTCTCCTGCCGGAGACACTCCTAAGTCACCCAATACACACACACTGTCTTTCTCTACACAAGTTACAGCACAATGAACACATTGTCTGCTCCTTGGGTTTTTGTCTCTAACAAATCAATACACACTGAGCTTCCTCATTTTCTCAAGGCTGCATGGCATCTCATGGCACGGACGTATAATTCTAACTCCTGTTTAGCCAGTCTCCTACTGATGGTCACTTAGGCTAGTTCAAACTAGCACAGTGATACAGGGACCTGCTAAATGGACAAGCCATTTCCACACATGTATGTCTGCGGGATAACCTCCTAGAAGTGGGATTACTGGGTACACAGCCTTGCGTATTTGGAATTTTGATAGATAATAACCGTGTTGTCCACCATTGGGATGTCCCCAGTTTGCACTCACCCAGCAGTGGGTGGGCATGCCTGTTTGGCCAAACCCCAAACACAGTGAAAACACAATGCTTGGAGAATCAAAGGACCCAGAGGCCCCCTCCAACCCTCATCCACTGTGGGCCAACTGCAGGCCTCTCAACCTGTGAGCCCCATGGACCTCATGGGAAAACTGGGCTTAGTAGTGCTCCCCCACGTGTGTTCCCGAAGCATCAGGCCCACAGCCCTTTGGGGTCGAGGTGGGAGGTACTGGAGCTCCCCAGGAGAGCAGCTCACAAGAGATGTCCCCCAGGCCAACACCACCTGCACAGAGCCAGGGGCTGCTAGAGGCAAAGCCCAACAGTAGTTAACATATAAATGCGAGAGGTCGTCAGAAGGCTGATGGACTTTGGTATTCAGCAAGAGCTGATAATCAGCATCGCATTACCTGCTGCTGGCAAAATGGTTGAAGGCAATCCCCTAACCTGATAATCCTTTTATTGTTTACCAAACCTTACCATTGAAATGACTGTTTGCTTTGCTCAAGGGCAAATGTGTATTCTAGTAAATAAAAAGCTGTGGGTCCAGAGATTCGGGGAGCCATTCCACTAGAGAAGGGCCTCCGCCTGGTTTCCCCAATGCCTTCCAAATTTATATTTCTTGTCTAGTGTATCCATTTGCACGTGGCCCCTTCTCCAGATTCTGAATCCTTGCTGCAAAAGGTTGCAGCAAGGGGCCACACAGGATACCTCAAAGCAGACACCAGTAAAATGGCTCAGGCTCTGCAGCCAGACAAGCCATGCGCAAGCAGTGTGAGCTTGGGCAAGCTGCTTACTCTCTCCCGGGGAACGCCGAGAAGTCCAGTTCTTAAAGCATCACTGCAACCCGTTCCCAGACTGCATCCTGGTGGGCAGATGGAATGTGCAAGATCCACAGCGTTGCGTTCTAGCTCATTTCTGCAAGAAATTTAAAAAACAACAATGTCACAGCCAGGGTGTGGTGCCACTTGAGACAAATTAGGAAAGATACAGAATCCCAGTTGAGAGCTGGTGGCTGGAAATGTGTTGAGTCTGTAAGACAAACTTTAACACCGAGGCAGGATGTAAGACAGGAGCGAGAGGGAAAGAATAATGCGAATGATGTGGGGGCTACTATCCATGCTCTGCCCATACCTGTGGCCCGCACTCTGGCTGACGGCCAACCGCCAGTGTCGTCTGTGCCTGAGGGCTCTCTCAAAGCTGCAGAAGATCTGCAGGCAGTGGAGGAATCGGTGCCCACCAGCTCTCAACCAACCAGCGCCCTCACCCTTCAGGTGGGATCATTCTCTATCCCAGCCCACATCTCCCACAGGATCGAGCCCCAGCAGCCCAGGGTGGGAGCTGGCTTCGCAACACCGCTTCCTGGCTGCCTGCCTGCCCTTGTCTCGTTTCCCCCAGCCCCGTGGTCGGCAAACTGCGGCTCGCAAGCCACATGCGGCTCTTTGGCCCCGTGAGTGTGGCTCTTCCCAAGCCTTAGGAGGACCCTAATTAAGTTAATAACAAGGTACCTACCTATATAGTCTAAGTTTAAAAAATTTGGCTCTCAAAAGAAATTTCAATCGTTGTACTGTTGATATTTGGCTCTGTTGACTAATGAGTTTGCCAACCTCTGTCCCAGCACTTTACTATGTCTCAGGATTTGCTTCTGGAGGAACCTGTGTGTGCCAGGCACCGAGCTAGAGGCTTCACACACATGGTGCAGATCTGGCATAGCATCTATTAAGTAAGGCCCGCCCACGCACACAGGGAACGGCCAGGCCTGTTTCAGCACCAAGGCCCACGATGACCAAGGGAGAGTGCACCAACTCTGAGGCCAAGCCAGGTGAACAGAGTGGGACTGAGCAGGTCTTTTTCAGGTCACGCTTTCTCCGACACAGAAACAAGGCCAACGGAGGGAGTACCAGGTTTCCAAGCCTGCAAGTGCAGGCCCATTGTCTGGGGCTATGTGCCCTTAAGAGGACACAGTCCCTGGAGAAATCGTGTGCCCGTAGTAGATGGGGTTTAGTCAGCTCCCTTTTTTTATTTTATTTTTTTAAGAGGTGTCCTTTATTTTATTGATTTTTTACAGAGAGGAAGGGAGAGGGATAGAGAGTTAGAAACATCGATGAGAGAGAAACACCGATCAGCTGCCTCCTGCACACCCCCTACTGGGAATGTGCCCCCAACTAAGGTACATGCCCTTGACCGGAATCGAACCTGGGACCCTTCAGTCCGCAGGACGACACTCCATCCACTGAGCCAAACCGGTTAGGGCCTTTTTAAATTTTTATCTTTATTGTTGAAAGTATTACATATGTCCCCTTTTTCCCCCCATTGACCCCTTCTAGCCCGCCCTTCCCACCACCCAGGCCTTTAGTCTGCTCCACTTTTGCAAATCTACCCCTTGTTCCAGAGTTGGCCTGAATTCACCACCACAGGTCTGAGAGTCCTCTTCACCTCTCTCGGGAAAGGCAGAAGTGAGCGCTCGGTGAGTGTGGGAGCTGGATCTGTAGCGTCACGAGCACAAAGGCACGGAAAATCGCTGCCTAAGCCACAAGCTCCGATTGCTGCTGTCCTTCTGGGCAGGAGGAAACCGGGCCATGCACTGTGGCTTCTTGCAACACAAGCCCCATTCCTTAATGAGGCTGATTTAATTTAGGGCAGTGGGAAGCTTCTGGGTTATTAGGCCGAAAATGAAGGCTTGTATTTCATTTAACTGCCCCACTTAACGGAAGACACTTTGCTTTTGTAAATTAAGGAATTATTTTCAAGTGTTAGAGGCCGCTGGGTGACCCTGAGGAAAGCCTCAAATGTGCTGAGGTTTGGGTGTCCACTCTGTAAACCTAACAGATTTGGGCAAACAACCCCAAAGCTTTTATCTGGCTTAGCAATCTACAGTTTTGTTCACCTCACTCCCTTCCTTCCACAGAGGTTCCTTCAAAAACCCATCTTCCAGACGTATTAAGTGGAAAAAGCCAGATACAAAACAATATCCTATATAATAAAGAGCTAATATGCTAATTAGACAGAACAGCCGAATGACCGTCCGGATGACATTCCGGACAACCTTCAGGACAAAGCTGAGGCTTCGAGGGCCGAGCCCCTGGCATGAATTTAGTGCATCAGGCCTCTAGTTATAAAATATTATCTTTAGTTTTAAAAACAAGGTGGGCATTAGAATGTGTCTCTGAATTTTATATGCATGAGGAACTGTGCAAGTGGGTATAGAAAGTTCTTAGCTGTGGGAGGAGGGGACAGGTACTGGTAGGTGGGGTAACTTTTTGTTGTGTATTTGTCCAGACAGTGACTGTGTTATCTATTCAAATAATTAAACCAAAGGAAAATGAAACAAATCCACCTCTTAATCGTATCCTTCTCTCTAACCTTCAGGTCTTCGGGTACTGTTGGGGACCACACATCTGCCTCCTGGGGATCCCCCCAAGTTCCCCATAGAGCAGTGGTTCTCAACCTTCTGGCCCTTTAAATACAGTTCCTCATGTTGTGACCCAACCATAAAATTATTTTCGTGGCTACTTCCTAACTGTAATGTTGCTACTGTGATGAATCGTCATGTAAATATCTGATATGCAGGATGGTCTTAGGCGACCCCTGTGAAAGGGTCGTTCGACCGCCAAAGGGGTCGTGACCCACAGCTTGAGAACCGCTGCCATAGAGGATCCCATCTACAAACAAGGAAGTTCAAAAAAGACAGCACAGTCTTCCCTGTGCATCCATGAAAAAATAATCACCTCTACCAGCTCCGTGGGCTAAGGCGCCGTGCGTGCATCATCCAAGGTCTCTGGCTGAGTTAACACCAATCATCACTCCGGGAGGAAGCTCATGGACACCGCAGAGGGGCAGCCCGGCATCCTGAAGGCTTTACAACTCATGCTCGTAAAACGTGATGGGAAAATTCATCTTGGAGGTTTACGGCCCACAAAATCCTCGATGTCTCTTTTATGGCTGCTTTTCAAGTTCTCGGCTGAGTGCTGAGTGGCTGACCTGCGCAAAAGCGGGGCTGAGCATCTTCCTGAATGGACAGAAGAGGGGACGCTGCCTCCCCAGAAGGGGTCTCCCAGGCCCCACTCCTCAGCCCCTCCGAATGGTTGAGGGACCATCTACTGCAGCTCTCATCCCCCGTGAAGAATTTCTTAGCAGCATCACCTCTGGCAGCTCGTGGTACCATGTGAGACAGCATCCTCAGCCCTGGTCTCTGCCTTTCCTTCTGGGCCAGCCTGTCCCTTCCTCTCTGCGCTCCTACCCCATCAGCCGGCCTTCCCCAGCTCAAGCCTCCTCGGGGAGCCGGCCTGTTTCTGCTGCTCTCGGAATGCCCTGCGCAGATACTCTCTCTTCCTTGAGGGACTGTTCCTGCACAGTAAACACATCTCGTGGCAAAGATCCAAAAGCAATCATCCTGCAACGTTACCACCGGATCCTTGAAAGGAAAACGCCCGTGTTCTGCCCTGACCTCTCTCCCCTCCCAAACTTCCTGGCTTCTCGGTGAACCTATAGCACTATTGCAAAATACTTCTTGCTCTTCCAAATCGCAAAGGAAGAACACATTTATTTTTTTAGTTATTTTTATTGTATTTGTTGTTGACAGTATTACAGATGCCCCTTATTTCTCCCCCTTCTTTGCCCCCCTCCACCCAGCCCCAAGGAGGAGCACATTTAATGAAGTTCAAGATGACCCACTTCCTCCAAGCATTGCTCCATGTTTTCAGGAACAATGACACTTTGCCTCTTTAGGAAGCCCACTGGCTTCGACGTTTCAAAGAGGAGGCTCAGCCCTGGCTGGGTAGCTCAGCTGGTTAGAGCACTGTCCCGATGCGCCAAGGTTGCGGGTTTGACGCCTGGTCAGGAGACATACAAGAATCAACCAATGAGTGCATAAGTGAGTGGAACAGCAAATCAATCTCTCTCCCTCTCTCTCTAAAAATCAACAAATAAAATGTTTTTTAAAAAAATAAAAATTAAGAAGAAACTGAGCTGGGCAGGTGCGACAGTCTGGCTATCTTCCATGTGTCTTGATTAGGGTTCCCTAACAGGCAGGAACCCTGGCATGGCTGTCAGCCTCTGGAAGAATGAATGTGGGCCAAGAGCCTTGAATGGCTCCCAAGGACCCAGGGTGATGCTGGTGACACCGGTCTGTTCCGACTGACACTTGGGGAATTAACCGGCTTAGTGAACCCCTGTGACAGTCTTAGACTCCAGCACTGAGAGGGACCCTAGAAACCACTTAGGGAAGGGCTCAAAGTGGGCTCCTCTTTACTAAAGATGTGGGGACAGGATGTCTGCCATTTGGGTAGAAGAGGGTGTTGAGGAAGGGGACTGAATCCCTCTGTGGCCACATCAACTTAAGAGCCTCCCTGCTGCCGAAACCGGTTTGGCTCAGTGGATAGAGCGTCGGCCTGCGGACTGAAGGGTCCGGGTTCGATTCTGGTCAGGGGCATGTACCTTGGTTGCAGGCACATCCCCAGTGGGATGTGTGCAGGAGGCAGCTGATAGATGTTTCTCTCTCATCGATGTTTCTAACTCTCTGTCTCTCTCCCTTCCTCTCTGTAAAAAATCAATAAAATATATTAAAAAAAGAAAAAAAGAGCCTCCCTGGTTAACTGCTCTAAGCATTGGGCTTCTCTTTATGTGGCTACTGGTTTTGAGCACACGCAGGACCCCTAGCCCCTAACCACCAGGCCATGCAGCACAAGCTGTCAACAGAATCCTCTACGGCTTAAAAAAACAAGTAAAAACCAATTGCTCAAGGAAACACAAATCAAAACCACAGTAAGAGACCACGCAGCTATTTTTTAAAAAGAAAACAAAGTGTTGCGACGATGTGGAGAAAGTGGGACCCTCCTGCACGAATTCAGCGACTGTAAAAGGCCACCCTTTCCACTCAGATCTTTCTCCTGCCCAGAAGCAAATCCATCTCCACTTTGGCT